TCTAACTTGATCTTATGATAATTCCCCCATTCATCTGCTTACCCCGCCTATGTACTTTTGTCCTCCGGTTGTTTTGCTTATTCGGACCCGCCACTCACCTTGCCACAGAGGCCGTCCTTTCTGACACTTGTACATTGACATGTGTGTCTGTGCGTAAATGTGCGCTGCTGACCTACTTATCCAAGTGCGTTCGTGTCTCGTTTGCTGGACCTGCCTTGACATGTTTTCACATGGGCTCCGCGTGATCGCACGTCCAATGAGAATCACGCGACCGTCGTCGGAAGGAACGACTACAACCCACGCTTCTGAGCCGTCATTCCGCTCGCCGTTGTTTGGTGTGCGGACGTTGACACTGCACTGTGCCGGTCAGTGACAGACTTGTGAACGTGTTGACGCCACGAACGTGAACAATTGAGGTTTGTTGTACACATTTACTTACCCTTTGCGTAATAGTACCGTAGAATTACGAACCCAATTCTTCCTTTTGATATTCGGGGTTGTTGAACCTACGCGTCACTCAAAGTTCCGTATCGGGATACTTAACATCTTTAGTGAGAAGAACATATTATGTCGTAGTAAGCGGAATAATTTCTAACTAGTCTATTAGTTTATAGGTGGACTTCAGGCCTCCGTGGCATTTAGAAACTAGTTTCTAGTCTCTAGTCTTCGACGGTAAAAGATTGCCGGTGGTTATTTTTCATCGGAATCGTTAGGGTCTCTCATCTGAGAACATGGGGTATGGAGCTCGTCGGACCATCTTAAATAAAGTAACAGACAGAGGTTCACATTAGGTAGAACGTTCCCCGTGAAACTCTGCTCAACCCACTCTTCTTCGGTCCACATTAGGGTTCTTAATTGCTCAACTGAAAGAAAAGCCTCTACTTCTGAATGACGTCAAAGACCATCCGTATGCGCCTTCAATTCCATGTCGGGGTATTAAGCACGACCAAAAACCCCGACGCCCCAACGTCAGCACCCTTAAAATGAATGATGGTGCCGCAAAACACTGGCCTTCATCTGAATAGCGGAAAGTGTGCGCATACCGTTTGGGAGAGACTCGGCGAGCGCCAGATTCATGCACGGTGGAAATAGCCTGGAAGTCATTACGGGGCGTGCAATCAGAACGGTTTAGGTATCTGACCCTCTTCAAACATGTCCTCCCTCCATCTAGAAAAATCAGCCTGAAAGGTATCCGTCGCCTTACAGGTCATTCAGCGCGCATTCCCACACATTACTAGCGTGGACTTTCGGAAGCTCTATGGGACCTTCGTCAGAATTCTTCTTGTGTACGTTAACCAAGTTTTCTGAACGCAGGGACACCACTCACCATTGGGGTGTCTAATTAACTGTTATTGAAACGACTGCTGGCCTCGAATCTGTTAAGTATGAAGTCCGTTTCGGGTGCTCTGAATCTCCTCCAGATTACCGTCCCATTTTAGGGGACCTGATACTTACTAATGGATTGCATGTGTATGATTAGGTTGCGAAGTTTTTCATTGTCTACTCAACTACTGCACGATGAGAAACTGGTAAGAAGAATTTCCAACTCACCGCGCGCACTTTTATTAGACAACAGGCCATCCGATTTCACGAAATTAATTTGTGGACTAACCGTCTTCCGACGGTTATACAGGCTTCATCTGGAACCCACTTCGAGCTGACAAGCTTACTGCTCAGCCCAGAGGATGCGCTGCCATAACCACTTTTAGCTCGTGACTTTCATGTCACCGAGGTATGTCGAGCGATGAATAAAAAATATACCAGAGAAGCTTGGGCGAAATCTGCGATTTTCTGTATCAACCTGTGAATGTTTGATAAACTTTCTTGAATACGAGCCGCTTCTTCAATGGTCATCACCATCGGGGACGATTAATTAAGCTGAAACTGAATTCACTCAGAAGTCTGGACCTTGAGGTACATATTCATTGCAAGGATATAGAAAACTATATGCTTTCGCTGCCAGGTCTGTCATGAATCGGCCTTCATGTCGACCAATCAGCGGCTGGTATTCGTTTGGGTTCGCTGCCGTGAAGAGACTTCCGGAGCCCTCGCCATTCAGACTCGTGCAATTAAATCTCAGCTACTATCTAAAGGCTGTCACAGCGTACTCGAAGAAGGATAAGCGCGAACGACTGGGCACTGTACAAGCGTATATGCAAGTTGGAAATTTGTGGGCGTTCTATGAAGATATCTTTCAGGTGAACCTCTTGATTCGCGTGTGGCCTCCCTAGTTCACTCAGAAAGTAATGATGCCCACATTTTGATCTTCTAGGTTAATCAGCACAGGTTATTTCCTTGATTTCTCTAGTCCATGAAGTCACACAAAGCATATAAGTAGCTTTAGGAGTTGAGCTATATATGGCTGAAGAATGTTCAATGTAGGATACTTTTGAAATGTTCTGTGTTGCGCGAGTGTCTCAAGTAGCACAGATAGTCAGGCATAAATAATCTGGTCTCGGTAAACAGTGACGCAAACATTGGGGAGGGGTCAGAATTTTCTTGATGGGGATTGATGTAGATGTTTAGGAGATCGGGAGTATGTGCAGGGGAATGTCCATGACGTCATAAGCGTCATCGATTCCCGATCGTACAGTCGCACCTCAGAGTGAAAGAGGGGCACTTGTAACTTAATGATTCGAAACGAGCAGGTCTTGTTGGCATGTGGTCGATACTGAGGTGGTTGACAGTGGTCATTTTGCATGCGAAAAACGAGGTTTACGGACATTGGGCGGTGAACAGTAATGTCCTTGTCGAAGGATCCGCTTGTGAATTTCTGTCCATTGCCAACAAGTCCTCAGGGAGATGGAGGACGTCTCAGATGAATGTATTGTCTACCGGTATGGCGGAATCAGGTTGAACACATGCAGTGACCCGCATCATGTGTGTGCTCACTGGTTTATGTGCCAATATAGTTAGTTGGGATGTGTCAAAAGCTTTCATTCAGGTTCGGTATGAATCACTCCATCTAACTAGTCGGTTCGACTGAGATGGGCTCGTGGTTTCCTCGAAAAGAAGTGGTATACTCGGCTGGAGGCTGAAGGCTGGTATCAGGGTTGGGCTAGGGCTAGCACAAGAAAATTCTGAAGCGAATATTGGTATTTGTGGACAGGAGGCTGCTCGGCAGGCCCGCCATGTAATTGCCAGTGGGCCTCGTACTGCAGGGCCATACATCAGCCGTGGCTGTTCCCGCCACTTCGTTACATTACTCCTTTTAGAGGCCTGTGCTCTTGAAAAAACCAACCTCTAGTTACTTGGCGACCACACCTATGACGATGGAAGTTTTCCGGTTTAATTAATAACATCTGATTATCTGCCGATTGTCTGTCGAAAACAGACCGCGTTTCAAGCTGAACAAGGCGAGAAATACGTATCGATCGGTAAAAACCGAAAATAAAATACTCACGGTTCTTCACACGTTAATCGTTTCTTGCGGCGCGTTGTGTGGTTATGGGTTGCACTGCCGGTTTGAGTCGAGCCTTCGAAACTACTTCACTGTCCGACTTGAAGACTGTCATAAATCTATTGTCATAACTGAGCTCGGGATGGCTCAGCAATCGAGATAAGAAATTACTGGCCGAAAGTACGTTGTTCGAACCCAACCTCTGCACGTCGTTTGCTTCTGTTTATTCTTGGGCACTCTGACAGTATCTTGGTCTTCGTGCTTCCTTCAGCAAATATGGCACCGAAATGGTGTTACAGCTGAGCTTAAAGGAAAAAATAGTGAAATCATTCTCCGGTAACAACGGGAGGAACTACTAAGCAAGCACAGCTCAGCCACATGAACTACGCTTGTATCTAATGAGTTGGAGCTCACGGTGACTAAATTTACGGTTTAAAATCATTGCTGACCCGAAGCCACGGAGCGTGAACAGCTGTAGGTAATCTCGTCTCTGAAATGCTGTGAAAAAACAGTATCAACACTGATTTCGTCATCTCTAATGCCAGTGAACAGCAAGTAAAACACATGCGCCCTATTCGAAATCAAGACAGCATCGGTTCGATCTTCATCCGTTTATATTATGTGAAATTACTCGGATTGTTGTGTGGAACCCCCAGCTCAATTCCAAAAGAATGACATTAAATCACTACTGATGTTCATAGACCGGCTAGACGAACAGCTGATGAAGGAACTGCAGTACCGTGTAAGACTTCAAAGAACAAACCCCCATTTCCTCGAACGATGGTGAGTAAAGAGCGACCTGATACTTGCACATTTCCCGACATCATCCAAACCTCAAATCTTTTCTCCTGTATGCGAACGAGCCGCTAAGACGTCACCAACAAGCCCTGTACCAGACTAAACCGTCAGAACTATTTCTCGAGCAACGGAGTGGTATATTCCTGGACTGAACCACAATCGGGAGGTGATGGAAGCCGACCGTACATGGGCTTTCAAAACCGTGGTGGTTGGTTTGTTCGCTGAGCTGGACAATTTGACAGATCACCGAACAAACCAATAACAATCTGTGCTACCTGAGCTACCAACATTCTCTTCTCTTTCAAAACCCCCTTGCATAAGGGATGGGAGCGTCTATTTCATGGGTTGCTCCAGAGGGCGCGTATGCGGGACTATTTAAGTTTTTTAGTGGAACTCCCACCAGAGTAACCATCAGAAATAAATACTGCTTTATGTCGATCCTATTTGTGCTTTGTAAATGCTTACATGAATGACGGTATGCAGACAGATCCTCTTGTTTAACTCTGTGCAGGTACTTGTCTGCTTATGGCTCTATGTGAACCAGTTGTGTGTGTTACACCATCGGGCTGCAAAACGAGCATTAAATTTTGAACTACCTAGTTTTATTTGACCGAATCGGTCACTCTTGCTGTGTTTTTTCTGTTAACCTATTAGTGAAACCGTGCGAATATCCATGTGGTCAAGACTTCCGTTTGTTATTTGATTCCCGGGCTGCTTTTTTGAAAAATTATCTACCGTCGTTTCTCGTTCTTTTTCTTTCAATTTTTAGATATTGCTAATAAACTCTTTTTGACTTTGAAAAATGTTTGGAGCGCCAAAATGTAAGTTGTCAGTTCGTCGTGTCACTTTAATATCCAGCCACTTTCGGAGCCCCGGCTAGCTCTGCATTCGGTCAGAGTAAGTTGCATTTTCTCTTCAAATCCAGTGTTACCGAACTTATTTACAGCAACAAATACTTTGTTTGGGGCTGCAACCAAGCCAACCAATTTGTTCGGACAACCTTCTGTAGGACTCGGGGGTAGTGGCACCACTTCACTTTTCGGTGGCGGTACAACTCAACAAAACACCATCACCTGGGGCAGTGGTGCAACGATGGCAGCCACAGCTTCTAGCGGAACAGCGATCGCATTTAATCCGCCTGTTACACCAGACACAATACAACGTGGTGGCCAGCAAACTCAAGTGAACGCAAAGCACATGTGTATTACAGCTATGAAGGAATATCAAGATAAAAGCCTGGAAGTAAGTACATCGCTTGTTCTCAGTGTTGTTTTGGGACTTCCTTAGGAATGCCTTCTACGCTTAGGTTTTATTTACTTCCTACCAACTGTGAATCTGTCATTTTGGGAGTATAACGGGACCTTACTTAGACCGATTTATCCAGTTGTGCGACCGTGAGGCGTCGGCATGGCCTCCAGTAACGGTGCCCATGATGGGGACTCTTTATGTAATGTGGACTTCTGCATTTGAAGTGGGGCTTGCTTGTGCTCGGACTGGTTCCCTGAACTTCACCTTGCAGTATCTTCTATCACTAACCATCTCTGGTAGCTGGGTGCCCAAGGTGATTTTGGACTATACATGTCTTTGCTTCCATGTGGTTTTTGCAGGAACAATCAAGCAAGGCAATTTTTTAAAGTTGGTCATAATTCTCATGGTCGCTAACTAAGTTCTCTCATTTTGGGTGGCGTTTTCGATATTATGCGTTGCCAGGGCTAGAATACAACTATCCGGGCGTGGTATCCACTAACTTACTGGCAACTCATGGAAAGCTCAGTTCTAGGCGTAGTTGAATCAGTTGGGATTCCGACTCGTACCAGAGACCCTGATAGTCGAAAATTGGCATACAAACCCTTGCTCTCATGCCAAGTTATTTGTTAAATCAACGAATAACTACGGCCTGATCCTCAGTGTTCGGACAGACTGCATAACTTGTTTTCAAGACAGACTGGCTTACTTTGTTAAGATGTGAAACACCACTACCGTATGTTCGTGTTTCCATATTCTCTATCCAGTACGATCCCTATACAGTAACTCCTCTTTCCTTCAGCAGCAACAGCAAAGCTTGAGCATCGCGTCTTAGCCTTGGCTTAATCGCCCTGCAGCAGAGCACTAAGTAAAGTTATTCCGCCGGTGATCACTCTAATTATTGCCGAAAAATCATTCATAACTTTATTGTCATTGCCTTTCCTTTGGCTCGATCGATCTGAGCTAACCTTGATTGCCTCAAGTTGCCCTTCACTCTATCAGTAAATATCCATACTTGAAGGTGAAGTTCTTTCAGTGACCTTTAATGTGCCCAGTCCATTCCGAATGACATGGTGCTGTCACCTATCAATCTGATAATGTTTCCATTTTGACTTGACTATTCAATTGCGTACCAAGTTTCAGTTGTTTTAGCGGCCACTGTTTTACACCGACGACAAAGGAACAGGGTTGGGAAAAGCATGTTGTCATAGTTTTTGAATGAGAGGAAGGTAATGGAGTGAAAATATAAAAGTTTCCTCCTGATTGATAAACAACTAACTCTATGATGCGGCAGCTCTGACGCGGAAACGCCACGCATCAAGTATCTTCTGACGAGTTTGAGGGCCAGATTTCTCGTAATTTCACTGGTCCATCTGGGATGTGTGCTGCACTATAGTTCGCTTTCGTTCGACTTGATTAGTTATTCCGTTTTTAGTGTCTTGTTTATTTTCACTGATTTGTCCTCGATTCGCGTTGCTCCTTGGACTTATTGGCTGGCTGTGCTTTACCGTTTTCACACTCATTGATGCGTTTGTATCTGACCAGTCAAACAAACGCTTTCACTCGTTCAATTTGCTCGTTCTATTTATTGATTGGTGGTATATCCCAGTCTAATAGATTTATCCGTTGGATTCGCACCCACTACTTTTTCGTAAGTTCCTCTTTCTTTTACAGTTTGACACTTTGTAGGTCTGGAATTCTCTTGTCCTTCCTAATTAGTAGATCGAGTCAATTTTGTGTTATTTTACAGTGTTTTCGGTGTAGCGCCGCGCTTTCTTGAATTTAGATTTTTCTCTCATTCTTTCTCGCACCATTCTTTCTTTCATCATTTCTTATCCTAGATTCAAGATGTTAAGCCCTGGTTTGCTATATTGGAAAGCTTTTGGGTTAATTTTGGCTGCCAGATTTCCTAGCAATATTCCAACTTGTTAAAACACTTTGCAATCAGCAGCTAAAGGATTTGTTCACTACACAGTTTCAATCTCGTCAGCAGTGGAGTTGTAATCTGTTTTGCGTGATTGTTGTGCGTATAGTTCTAGCCGGATTTGCCATCTTTGGTTGATCTTCGACGGTGTGTATTATTGTCAACTTAGCAACTGGTTTTGCACTTTATCACATTTTCTCATTAGTACTGATGGCTTATTCCATATCATTTCAATTAAAGGAACTGCGTTTGGAGGATTATGTCTTAAACCGCAGGAGTGGTAATGCACTCGCGACGGCGACAACGGGCACATCTCTCTTCGGTACCTCAGCCACTGTCAAACCTTTCCAGTTTGGTGCATCTCAAACGACAACTACCGCATCATCCATTTTCGGGCAAACAAACAAACCGACCAGTAGTTTGTTCGGAGGATCTGGCTTGAGCTTTGGCGCTTCCAGCACCACCACACAGCCCGTTTTTGGACAGCCAGCACAAACTCAAGGTACGGTCCTTCCGTTCTTGTTCCTTATCTTCTTCGAGTGACAACGCAGTCTTTTTTTCACTAACGTGGTAGCAGCCTTAAGTTACAGTGTCAGAATCGTTACCTTAACGTCTTTTCTGGCTAGAATAGGACATAGCATTCAACCTTTTTTTATTTTTCACCCTCTGATTCAGGCACCTATTAGAGCAACGGTATTAAGCTGAACAGTTAAAATGAGTGGGGGTACGCTAGAATGGTTATTTGAATACGGATTTTTTTGGATAGTTTTTTAATGTGCTTGCGAAACGTTCCATTAGCTTCCTGGCCATTGCATCGGACACCTTCAAACAAATCGGAAAACGCTGTAACTTGTAGATATTGTCATCATCATCATCATCATCATCATCATCATCATCATCATCATCATCATCATCCACAGCGGTGTTTGGCGGGAAATGCAAATGCATTACCATTTCTACGGAACAAGTCGCCACATGTTCCAACCCCCAACCTGGAGGGCCAGGAGACTGTGTTCGTCAGACCTCTAACCATTGACCAACCTGGTGTGACAGACTCTGTGAGTGTCGCGGGACACTCTCCAGTATAGCTCAATGGATCGCTAAGGTGCTTGTAGATATTGTAGCCTTGCCTGTCTTTCGCTTCAGTAACCCGAAGGATATTCCTATGAAGAATCGTTGGACTATGTTTCTGATGGTTGGCGAGCACATTGTCTACTACCACTTGCGTCTCAGTGGGTTAGGGTTAGGGTATATTTCCTTGATAAGCCGGTTTTCTTCCTGCGTTTGACGATATTCACAGTACCACTTTGGCTCCTTGCAGGAAGCCTTTTAGGTGTCAAGCCACAGTTTGGTACAACACAACAGTCAACGAATTTGTTTGGAGCGGCCGCACCAGCTCAGACATCAGGATTCACTTTTGGGCAGACAGCACAAAGTAAGTTTGTACTTGATTACGCGCTGCTACACATCTTTGTCGCTGTACTCTGACACCTTTTCTGGGATTATTACCTGCCTCGGTTTCGATCACCTAACCTTATTATTTTTCATCTCCGTTATTCATAGGAACCAGATATTTTGGAGCTTGTAATGATCATTCACCTACCCTGATTTCCACGGACGTACTTATTTAAAGAAAAACTCGGCTTTCAATGAAACACCAGTTCTTGTATCTAATTGTAGACGGTTAAGTGGTTTTACCCTATATATTACTTGCTAGCGATGGGGGACAACACCCTATTCACCGTACATCCTGGTCTGCAGCTTTCTGGTTGTCCAGTTTACACATCAGTTCGCTATGCTAACCTTCTTTAAAACGACTTTTACTCTCTAGTTATGTTCTCCAGAAATTAAACCACACGCATACACATGTTTGCACATGTAGCCAGGAAAATCGGCTCTTACTATCACATATCCTCCGTGAATGTCGCGCAGTACAAGTTGTTCTAGATTAAAGAAAAGAAAGAGAGAGGTACCTTTTGTAATGCACTACTCATAAGGTTGCTGAAGACTTCTCGACAGAGGAAGATGCTTCATATTTTATATTCGAGTCCCATCTATGTCGGCTCCACGAAGTTCTCTTGGGTAAACTCGTACTCGAGTACTCTAGGTATTCTTCTGGTTAACGATTTCATCCACAATTTAACGCCAATGCATGTCAGACCTTCCGATTTTTCGCCCGGTCTACCAATTCCAACAGGCTTAATTGCTTCCCATTAGCGTCGTCGAAATGAGTTTCTTTTTGTATCCTACCTTACCAGCAAATTCTCCGTTTGGCACAAAACCGCTGTTTGGCGGGACTACTGGTGTAACGGGAGGCACGGGCTTGTTCGGAACTGCTCAACAGGCTAGTACTGGTACCACGGGTTTCACTTTCGGTCAGCCTCAGGCAACTGGTCTGGGTGCTACTACGAACTTGTTCGGTCAGACGGCAACTTCTACAGCTGCCACAGGTGGACAACTTAACCTCTTTGGTGCGCAGCCCAGCAGCAGTTCTGTTCTTCCTTTTGGTTCAACGGTGAGCTCCTTTTTGACAAGATTATCTATTTAACTACTGAAAAAGATAGGAGTCAAGACATAATATGCGTTTTGGTTTCATCCAATCTAATCCGAAGGAGAGGATTTTTCAGTTCTGCTTGGTGACTGTTGTGGTCTTATGTGGTGATGTCTGTCGCTTTCTGATCACTTGTAAATTGCCCGGTTTCTTATGGTCATTTACTACCTTGGTTGTGCAATACACTTGCGTTTTCCAGCCGCTGGCATTTCACAGGCGACTCTTAATACGCCTCTGCGTGCATTTGTTCGCCGCAGCGGCATCAGCGGCTTGCACTAGAGTGTGGTCCGTACGTATCATCTGTACACGCGCCCAACGGACCGACCACTGTTTAAAAGGAAGATGAGTGGCAGATTGTAGTTTGAAAACTTACTGACCATCAGGGCAGTAATACTTCAATCAATTGGAAAACTTCCTAGTTAGGGGTATTCATGGAGAATGACCAAACTGTCTACCTGAGAATTCTCTGTTCTAGAGGCGTCTCCTGCTAGTTCTGTTGGGGATATCAATATCCCAAAAAACCCCGTATCTTTGTGTGTGTGCTAACAAACCTCCGGCATTTTTCAAGGTCAAACTATATATGCATTGTCATTTTCCTTTGATTCGCCTGTTTGATCGCGTGTTATGGGATCATTAGAGTTGTGTCCGAGGTTTTTCGTCTTCTTACTATTCGCTGTGCTAGGAGTCTAGATCAAGCAACATAGCTGGGGATAGAATATTGTCACAGTCCGCATATCTTATCGTTCGCTCTCTGCGTGGTTGAACCGTAGCAAGTTCACATCAGAATATCTGAAAATCGTCCCAATACACTCCTCAGCTCTGAATAAATTGACATCAAAGAATGACCGCAACACTATTGATTGTTGTTTGGAGTAATGCAGTTGTAATATCTGCTTTTTTCTATCCACACTGCTGCTCACGCCTTCCAGCACACGATACTGCTCCATTATTCAGCACAGTGTCAACAGTAGCGAATGGTTGTCCCATCCAGTTCGTGTCTGTTCGATCGTTGCGCTCATCAGTCATCTCTCCTGTCCGTTCTCATACTGATATAGCAAGAAATTCTACCTTTCCCTTAGGAGAGGAAGGTTTGATCTGACTCCTTGGTGTCCTTCATTTCTTGCATGTGGTACATATCATGGGGTGAAAATCCTCGGTGGACCTACTGTAGTCGTTGCTCCTAAGACCTCATGGTTGATCCCAGGTGCCGTAATTTTGTGAGACTTTCTCTGGCTGTCAAATCCTTGTATTCCATTTGCCTTGATAACTCAGCCGCCCTCAGTAGACGTCTGTCAAAAATAACGGTATTCCTTGCACAGGAACCGTTTATGGGCTGTGTTTAGTTTTCTGGACGCACCTTCTGCCGTCACTTCCCTAGATACTCCCCTCCAGAGGTGAATGACGTCACTTCCTTTGGCCAACATAGTATGGACTCCAGATCCACTGACCCCCTATGACTTCGTAATACCTCGTCCTGTCTTCTTGTAGATAGATGGCTTTGATCCCGTCATCCAAAGAACAGGCAAACCTCTCTGTGGATTTGGTTCTCAGTCCTTCAGCGCTTTGGTACTGGTTCAGGAATGGTTCCACGTATAGAGTTCGCTCGTGTTAGTGACTGGCTTATAGCGCATTACGTACACCGCAGGAGAACCAGCCTTGTAACCACTTACGGAAACAGTTGCCTATTTTAAGCCAGCAGGGAATGTATCCAATCTCAAACACCAAGGGTAAAACTAACCTGAGTTATAAACTTACACCAATTTGTTTTGCAAGCACGTACACATATTGTAATTCGATCAATCACAGAAAGAAGGTGGATCCAGTTAGCGCACCAGTTCTGATCCGTTTCATGCTCCGTCATCAGGATACAATTTTGCATCAGCGTATCAGCCCATTTACCTAGTCGTTCCACAGTCAGACTGAATAATTAATGGTTTTTGCTGAAAAGTCGAAGGGGCACCACAATGCCCTCGAGACCGTATCTAGTACTCTTCGTTTGGTTAAACGGAATGTTCTTCATGGGAGGTCTTTTTCCATATTCTCACTGGCCGTTGCTTCCTTTTACTCTGTTATTCATATTATTACTGCTCAGAGAAACATTACTTCTGTGCGAAATACCCACCCACAGATCCCTCCGCCTGTCTCGGTTCCCATTGATTATGATAGTGGCAATGAGAGCGAAACATGAATTGGCTGCTGTATGTCATGGAACTCAACTTATCCATTGTGGAGAGAAGGAAACAGGCGTACCGAAAGTGCCCGCTGTTCAGATCCGCACTCCTATGTTTTATGGAAGTTTCACTGATAGGTTTATTGGGGCTTATTTCCATTGCGACAGTCGTTGCATGTTGAGGAGTTTCAGTGTATACGCTTAAAGCTAGTCTTTTTTTATCTTCCATCTGCAGCAACAAACTACCAATCTGTTTGGAGCAGTCAAAACGACAGGTGCCGCCCCACTTTTTGGAACACCTTCCACTGCCCTAGGTACAACACAACAAACAGGTTTTGGCGCTTTTGGTGGCCTAAAACCAGGCGGTACGACTAGTCTCTTCGGTGCAGCCACGTCAACTGCAACATCCAAACCTGGAGGTATCTTCGGCATTGGTGCCGCCTCTAGTGAGTACTATCCAACCCCAAACTTTATGCACTCAATTGCTTTCTGACCCAAGAAACCATATCCTGGCGTTTTCTGTTCTCGTTGTTCTAGATACATCTACCGGCTTCGGTTTTGGCGCTGCAACCGCTACTGGGCAGACACCGGCGTTTGGCGCTTTTGGTGCGGGCACTAGTACTACAGGACTATTTGGACAAACAAATGCCAATACTTTGGCTGCCAAAAAACCCTTCGAATTTGGCTCGTCGCTTACTAATCCTACAGTGTCCTCCACCGGTCTGTTTGGTTTCGGTCAAACTACTTCCCAGGCGGGAGGTCTTTTTGGCGGCGCTAGTATAGGTTCAACAGCTTTGGGTCTCGGTTCTGCGGCTGGTGGCACCGGAACTCTTTTTGGTCAAACAACGGGATTCGGGTCATTACAAAAGCCTGCTGCGCCTGGATTCGGGCCCGGATTCGGTTTGGGTGGCGGGACAGGGCTTGGCGCTGGTGGTTTGTTTGGGACTACGTCAACTGCGCTAGGATCTTTATCGTCAGCCGCTCAACCGCTTGGTTCTGGATTTGGAGGAATTGGCACGGTACAGTTGTCTTTCATTTTGATTGTTTGTGCAAAGACATCTTTTAGGGTCTGATGTATACCGTCGAAGGATCCTTTGCCCTTCCACTCTAACTGCGATGGTCAGGGAATGGGCATATGGGGTATTTCTCAATCGTTGGGTAAAGTACAAAAATGCAAAAATACATTTTGTAATTGTTAGACCAGTGCTTCAGAGATGTTGGTTGTTTAACAGATTGATGAAAATAGTGTCCGGTGAGTGCTACCTTCCATTCGTTCATACACAGAAAAAGCCTTTGGATTTGGACAGGAACTGCTAAGCATTCCTTTTGCTTCTGTGCTGCATCGAGCTCCAACTAATAATCGAGCTTGTTTATCAATCCTTCATTCATTTTACATCAGTGCACAAGTATGCAGGTATCCGTCTTCCCACGAAAATATCTCATAAAAGAGGTCTTTCATCGTGCCGATTGCTTTATTGACTGCATTCTTCCGTGAAAAATAATGGGTGAAATACTGGTTTGACCGTGACAATCGTTTTGCCTCGGTTGTGTCTTTCGGTAGCTGGCATTTTATTCTTTATGGGTCAGAGAAACCCACCTACCTACGCAACGACCTTACAATGTTTATCCGGCTCTTTGTAGTGGTCTTAGCCTCTTTCGAATTCAAGGTGATGCCGTGTGACTGGTAGAAGTTGGCTCCACTCTAGATCCGCAGGAAGTAATGCCGTACAACGATGAGAGTCTTGGTGTAGAAGAGACAGGGATTTTGGAAATCTGATATGTGGACCCAAGTATATAAGTACATGTAAGAGAAAAGACAGTTCTTGAACGCTACTCGAACCCCCAACTTGTATTACCGGGCGAATGCTTTATCAAATGAGCTACGCCTATAACATGCAGTGCTTGATTTCCACATTTGTTCGCCAATTGTCTCTCCAATGACTCAACAGTTGGTGTTATTCACTGTCACTCCCACAATATACCGGACTTGGCTATCACCCTATAGCCGTGGGGCACTGGTTTCAAGTTGATGGGGTTGGAAAATCCGGTAAGCGAGGGATCGTGGGTTCGAGGGCCGTTCATGGCCTATATCTTCTTGTTTGCTCTGAGTTCATATTCCATATTGAAAACATTGGTTATCTGACGAGCTGTTTAAGCTCTGTCTGTGTTGTCAAAGCAGTCAATAAGGGCATTAAGTGGGCTGTATTTGCATTCACCAAACTGCCTTACCTTCGGTGCCGCGAAGACCGAGGGTCGTATATATAATACGTCTTTGTACACAATCTTATGGTACGACACTAAGACATGGCTGTCCTGCCCTGAGGCCATTCAACACCTGATGGCTTTCGATTAGCGATACCCACGAAGCATCTTGCCTGAACATCGATTAGGCGAGCCGACGTTTAATTCGTGCAGAACGACTCAGCAGACCATTTGATGTGATGAATGAGCACAACAAGGTTTGATGTTTGGGATTTACATCCGTCATCTAGGCAAAGCCACACTATCCCTTAGAGTTAGATCCAACTGTAAAGCTATCCTACCATCAGGTGTTCAGGCTATAACACGGCGCCAAAATATGAAAACACTGACAGCGGATTTTTTTGGCTATTCAATTCTGCCTCTCTGGGTGCAACCCATGAGCTGGGTAATAAATGCCCGTTAATCTCTGTCGTAACTTTCATGCTACTAACGCGGGATTATTGTGAATTGTGATTCCTTGTTTACCCAATTCAAATAATGATTTGGCCACTAGTTTCACCTGATTCGGGGGGGGGGGGG